TTTATTGAGATGCACCTGTACCTGAAAATGAAGAACACGGATTCTTGTAAATAAATCTTGTGCCCAAAATCCCCATCCACCTATCAAGTGTTACCCTTGCAGAATCAGGAAACAAAGTGCAGCTATATAAGCTATCACACAACCATATTTCCAAACATTGTGGCCATCTCATCTTTTTGTGTAAAAACTAGAAACAACTTCATGCTTATTCTTGTATGGAATTTAAGGAGATTTTACATGTTTCATGTTTTTGACCTGTAGATTGTTTGCTTTGTTCCAAAAATTTACTTAAATTGTTAAAATGTTGCATTTTGCCCTTAGTTTTGTTCACTTTTACAAGTCAACATTTTAAGGCATGCCATGTGTACGTAAGTCAAATGCGAGTAAATGTACGTAAGTCACATGCGAGTAAAATTGTCCTCTCATTGGTCAGAGTGCTGATTAAGTGCAGGATTTCACTCATAGTGGTCATCCATCAAGATGTACTGACAAGTTATATTTATGCATTTAGGAGATGCTTTTATCCTCTTACAAAAGAGAGAGAAAAAAAAGCTCAACAATATTTGTAATATACAATGCCAGGTTTATTAGACAACTACATTAGGAAGCAAACTACTCTCTAATATGAAAGAATTTCTGTATTGTTTTTTCCCGTTTCTTTTACGTATTTTGAATTGCACATTGCATTGTTTTCTGTGTTAGGGTTGAAGGAAAAGATGGTAAACTTAACATTTTCTTCCAGGACATTATCTGTTTTACCACTTTATTTTTCCACAAGTTCGCACTTACATGCAATCAGATTGAGCAAATAGTAACCTATGCATGTTTGGCATGTTGTCCGAGGAGATATATACTTTTGTGCTAATCGAGTTGATTATCTAAATGTACTCCTCTTGTGCCAAATTGGTCAATTAATTGAATGTGTTCCTCCCAAACTTTCTTACAATGGGGGGAGAAATGCAGTGAAGAAATAGAAGGGGTGTTTGTTGTTGTCTCTGTGTGTGTGTGTGTGTGTGTGTGTGTGTGTGTGTGTGTGTGCTCTAAAAGTGTATTATCTTATTTATGTGTGTTGCTTGCTAAAATGACTTGTCTTATTATCTACCTTGTCTTATTGAGTGGAATAGGCCATACAGGTGATGAAGATTAATTCTGAAATGCAGGAAACCCTGAAATACTTCCAAATGCTGCTTTTAAGTCACAGCCTACATTTATGTCACATATATGAATATTATCACATACAAATAATCAAAAGTGGAATCTACAAACTATTTATGCTTAAGAGTTTCTCAGATCTAACTTCTCTATTCTTTGCATTGGCTTTTAACCAAATGGTGTCAAGGTGCTCATTACTGGTGTGAATGTGAAGTCGGTTCCCCTCAAGTTCACATAAATGTACAGTAGAAGAGTAAACACAGCATTGTTCATCACAGTAACACATGAAAACCACGTGTCAAATACTTTTTGCGTTCAGTTTGACAAGTATATCTGTAAAAAATAAATGCCACTTGATTTGAAAGTTTGTTTTATATTGCAACAACATTCATACATTTTTAAGTGTATGAATGTAAGGGTCTGTTACATGATGTTAATTTTTATCCATAACTCTTAATTATTCAAATACAATGACTTAAATACACCTCTTCTAAGATGAGATTTTTTTTTCCCTTGAAAAATATACATTTAAAGATGTTGGAAATCAGCTATAAAATCAGATATTAGATCAGATAAAACATATTGAATCTGCTTTTCTTATTAATATGGTCACGTTGCTCTTCTATAGATCATTCTTAATAACTCATAAGGTTATGATTAAATGTTTAAATTATACATGTAGTAAATGAATATGATTAAATCGAAGAACTGAATGATTAAATGATTATAAGCAAATAAATAAAACTGAAAGAAAATAAAACACACACACAGGTTGCTGTGAAGAATCCCTAGATTCTTTTGTTGGAACATCAGTTTAGCCTCAAAAGCACCAAATGAAAATCTTAGACTGATTTTGATACTCATTAATTCAGAAATGTTTCTACTCCAGAATATTTGTTGCTCTGAAATCAGTATTTTATATAAACTAGAACATATCACATTCCAATTTCCATGGCAAATCCAAACATTCCCCAAAACACCAAAGAATGGAAATTTGGGGAATACTGATATAATACACACAAAAAAAGATTAAATACTAGTTTAATCTTTTAGATTAAAGTTTAACTTAAAGATTTTAAGTTAAGTTTTTACTTAACTAATCTTTCTCCACTGCTTTTAACTCATCAGTTTGCTTATCTGTTTTTAACCAACACATTTCACAACCTCTCAGTGACCTCTAAAGCTGTGTGATGAGTCAGCAATAATGGGGCTAAATGTCAACATTTTTCTCTTGTTTACATATACACTATCTGAAATATATTTTTAGGAAAACAACTAATAGAGGAATGGCAAAGTCTCCAGTTGTCTATGGTTTACGGCGTTTAACCTTTGCGTAAAGCTGAGAGGAGTCTTCAAACAGCTCTTCCTCTGATTGCTTTGACTCTGTTTGTTTAGTTCGCCCATCTGCACTTACAATCACCTGTGCTTCTCTGGCTCTTGAAGACTCTCCTATTGAGCTCTCAGTCTTTGACAGCCCTTCAGAACAATCCTGGTCCACAGCGTAGTCCGAATGAAGTGAAGAGACGCTACCAAACTCTTGTGATTTCGATTTTGTGAAGACAATGGAGGAATAAATGATGGAGTCTTGATTTGCTGCGGCTCCAGCAGATGACATCATGACATAAACAGGGTCATCTTGATTCTCGTGTGGAGCGACCTGAAGGATTGACAGGGTTGAATCAGTGTTGCAAAGCTCTAGTGTGTCTCTTTAAATTGTTCAGCCGTTTGTGTTCTAGTTTAGTTGGTTTAAAAAAAAAAAAAAAAAACCGTGTATTTTTTTGTATTTATTAGTATTATTATTATTGTTGTTTTGTTTTTGTGTTTCTGTTGTAACTCACTTCATTGGTATTTTGATCACTTCTCTTAGTGCCTTCTTGTGTAGTCTGTGAAAGTTTCCCATTCCCTTTTCTAAAAAAAAAAAAAATGTTTAACATGTCTCCATGTTAAAATAATTTATATTCTACAAAAGCTTCACAGTTAGCAAAATCAATAAATCAGACAGGATTGGCCATATATAAATATCATTGCATTAGATACATAATCAAAAGTGGCATCTACAAACTATTTATGCTTAAGGGTTTCTCAGATCTAACTTCTCTATTCTTTGCAACGGCTTAACCAAATGGTGTCAAGGTGCTTATTACTGGTGTGTAGTGTAAGAAGTTGGTCCCCTCAAGTTCACATAAATGTTCAGTAGAAGAGTAAATACAGCGTTGTTCATCACAGTAACACATGACAACCACATGTGTCAAAAACATTGTGTTCAGTTTGAAAAATATATCTATAGTTTAAAACCTAGCATGCTTCTATTTGTAAAACTGCTTGAAATTTGAGCTTATATTATCTTTCTTAAAATAAATGCTACTTAGTTTAAAAGTTTATTAATACTGCAATAACACTTATACATTTTTTAAATGTGACCTAATAGTCTGTTAAATACTAATTTGTATCCTTATCTATTAATTTTTCAAAAACACATACAGTGAGAATAAACCTTAATGTTTTCGCTCTACAAATATACAGTGGGTACGGAAAGTATTCAGACCCCCTTAAATTTTTCACTCTTTGTTATATTGCAGCCATTTGCTAAAATCATTTAAGTTAATTTTTTTTCCTCATTAATGTACACACAGCACCCCATATTGACAGAAAAACACAGAATCGTTGACATTTTTGCAGATTTATGAAAAAAGAAAAACTGAAATATCACATGGTCCTAAGTATTCAGACCCTTTGCTCAGTATTTAGTAGAAGCACCCTTTTG